CCATCAACAGTGTACAAGGGTTCCCTTTTCTCCATACCCTCACTAACATTTGTTATCTCTTGTCATTTTGATATTAGCCATTCTAACAGGTGTGAGGTGATATCTCATTGTGGTTTTGGTTTGTATTTTTCTGATGATTAGTGATGTTCAGTGGTTTTTCTTGTGCCTGTTGGCCATTTGTATGTCTTCTTTGGAAAAATATCTGTTCAGGTCATTTGGCCATTTATTTAATTAAGAGTTTTTTATTATTATTGAATTGTATGTGTTCCTTATATATTTTGGATAGAATCCTCTTATCAGATACATTATTTGCAAATATTTTCTCCCATTCCTATAGGTTGCCTTTCAGTTTATTGATTATTTCCTTTGCTGTACAGAAGCTTTTTAATTTGATGTAGTCCCACTTGTTTATATTTTCTTTTGTTACCTCTGCTTTTGATGTCATATCCAAGAAATTGTTTACAAGAAGAATGCCAATGAGTTTTTCCCTATGTTTTCTTCTAGTTTTATAGTTTTAGGTCTTACATTTAAATCTTTAACACATTTCAAGTTAATTTTTGTGTATAGTGTAAGAGAAGGGTCTGATTTCATTCTTTTGCATGTGAATACTCAATTTTCCCAGCACCATTTATTCAAGAGACCATCCTTTCTCCATTGTGTACTCTTGGTACCCTCTTCAAAATTAGTTGACCATATATGCATGGGTTTATTTCTGAGCTCTTTATTCTGTTCTCTTCATTGATGTGTCTGATAACAAATCCAGACAAAAGCATCATGGGAAAACTACAGATCAATTTTCCTGAAGATTATAGACAGAAATACACTCAACAAAATGATAGCAAACTTTATTCAGAAACATATAAAAAGAACTATACAAGATAGCACATGGAATTGCATTACCAGGGTCTATGATGATATGTGGACTTCTCCCACATTATTGGAAGATCTGAAGATACCTAGAAAAGAGAGTTCAAAAGCAAGTATTGGTGAAGATGAGGAGTAAAGGAAATCTTTGTACACTTTTGGTAGAATTGTAAATTAGTATAGCTATTATGGAAAACAGTATGTAGGTTTCTCCAAAAATTAAAAATATTTAACTCCACTCTGGGTATATATCCAAAGGAGATGAAATCAATATGTCATAGAGATATCTGCACTCTCACGTTCATTGCAGCATTATTCACAATAGTCAAGATATGGAATCAACCTAAGTGTCCATCAACAGATGAATGGATAAATATAATGTGCTATGCATACCCAATGGAATACTATTCAGCCTTAAAAGAGAAGGAAATCCTCTTATTTGTGATAACATGGATGAACCCGGAGAACATTATGCTAGGTGAAATAAGCCAGTCAGAGAAAGGTGATTACCACATGATCTCACTTACATGTGGAATCTACAAAAGTTCAATTCATAGAAGTAGAGATTAAAATAGTGGTTTCCACGGCCTTTTGGGGGGAGAGAGGG